GTGTAGCTGAAGCAAAATACAGGACTATGTAGCAATTTAAAGACTAACAAGTTGGTTTATTAGATGATGAGCTTTCGTGGGCCAGACCCACTTCCTCAGATCAAATAGTGGAAGAAAATAGTCACAACCATATATACCAAAGGATACAATTTAAAAAAAATGAACACATCTGTAATGTGATTTGTCCTTTTCATGTGTGTTCATTTTTTTAAATTGTATCCTTTGGTATATATGGTTGTGACTATTTTCTTCCACTATTTGATCTGAGGAAGTGGGTCTGGCCCACGAAAGCTCATCATCTAATAAATCATCTTGTTAGTCTTTAAAGTGCTACATAGTCCTGCATTTTGCTTCAGCTACACCAGACTAACACGGCTACATTTCTATTACTGTGATAAAAAGGACACACAGATGGCTAGAAGGTACAGGACAATTAAAGCACTTTGTAGCAATGAGTCAGCTGAATGTTTGTGAATCTGTTGTTTTCAATAGAGCAGATTTTGAGCAATGGAACAGCCTCCCTGGCAATATATTGTTGCATTAGAACAATTCCAGGTAGGGGGAAAGCAAGGGTTTGCAAGCTTTTTACAAATGCAAATGTTTGTTTTTAAAATTGCATTTTGTGTTTATTAACTGGAGAGTGACACAAGCACAAACAATATTAGCAGTACTGTTTATCTGGCATTACTTCAGCTGCTTCATTTGTACAAACTAAGGTTTGCTGCAATGCAATGTAGCTAACTGAGCTAAGAGCTAAGGATGCAAACAGGTAAGCCCAGATCCTGAGAGTCAGTTGCCTAAAAACCTTTTCAGCTCATGGTCTAGGTATGTAAGACCTAAGTGTTATTGAAGAGCAGCATTACATATTGTCAGGGGATTTGTGTAAGCTATAGTTCTTAATGAGATTTATTGAAATATTTTAAAAACGAATCTTGGTGTGTCAGACAATTGCTTGGAAGGGTTTGTGACTGATTATCATCATCACCAGTGTTATTTACATTTACATCCCCAGAGGTCTCAGCTAGATCAGGGACCATGTTGTGCTGTACATATGTAGAGACACGAGTCATTTTTCCAACAACACTATAAATAAAAGTATAATTAACTTATTTCTGGGCTTGCTTTTCTTCGGGGTGATATGTGTGCGCACGCGTTTCATAATACTATCAGTGATGTCAGTTCTGCGTGCAGCTACTGAAATTCAGTGAAGGGAGCCAGGAGGTTTTCACAGAAATGCAGAAGGTATTTAGGGACTTAATTGAATGGAACTGTCCATGTGTTGGTTCCAGTTGGGGAAAATGAGCAATATAGAATCATAGATGACTAGACTTGGCAGAGACCTCAGGAGGTCACCGAGTTCAACCCCCTGCTCAAAGCAGGGCCAATCCCATAGTTACATTACAGGACAGCTGGGAATATAGTCCAACAACAGACCAAGACCAAAAATCTCAAAAACAGCAAAACTGATTAACAAAGGGAGAGATCAAATGATCACAAGTCAACAAATGGCATCAGAGCATAACCAGTGCTAGTGTGCGTAACAAATTTTTACTAGGTATGGCACACCCTTGTCATTAAGAGTTAGGCTCAGATCACACATTGTCAGAGCTCAGGGGTTCCAGGGTCTCAGTGAATGGCTGTCTATCCCTGTTAACAATGCAACATTTCAGAACCCCCCCTCCGCCCCCCAAAATCAGTAAAACTCTGTTTCCCAATCTGATTTATCTGCCTCTTGACATGTATTACAATAAAGGGTGAACCTCTTGCAGCCATGTCTTAGCTGCAAGGTCACTGGCTGCATAATCAGTTCTCTCAACATGAACATTAATCTCTCTTCTAATAAGAAGTTAAAGCCCCCCCATTTCCATTATATTCACCAATTTCACACTGAACGGAGTGGCCTGTCAGTTTGTTTTCATTTCCTGTCACAAATTCCTTCAAGAGCTGCTTTGGAGCCTGCTGCTCACCATTCAGTTCTAACAACCTTTAATTTACGTAGCTTGCCTCATCTCTAACCAAGGCGGTCTATTCCTCATAGGTGGCACTAAAGTCTCCCTGTATTTGTGGTGTATCTGGACAATTCACACTCTTTAATGCATTAATCTCGCAACCTCTGTGTGAAGCAGGGCAGTGCTCTTAGCCCCACTGTACAGATGTGGAACTGAGGCACAGAGAGACTAACGACCAGACCCTCAATGGTATTTAAGTGCCTAACTCCTGTTGATTTCAATGGCACCGAGATGCCTATATAATTTTGAGGTTCTAAGTCTGAGGAACTTGACCAAGGTAACAAGGAAACGTGCAAGAGGAGGGTAATGAGCTCAGAGCCTGCAAATCCCAGGCCAGCAAACTCCTTTCCTTATAGACTCATTCTGCTGCCTTTACTAGGAATGTCAACTACAACAGGGGTTCTCAACTGGGGCTTTGGGCTCCCTGCTGGGCCATGAGCCGGTTTCAGGGGCCAAAGCCCTGCCACACAGGACTGGAGTCCAACCACTCAGGGCCGAAGCTGAAGCTTCATGAGGCCCCTGCCCTGGTACTTACTCTGCTTTCTTCCTCCCTAACGCTGGCCCTGGCTTTTACATGCAGAAAAACAATTGTTCTGGCATAGCTGGCCCGTATCGTTTTTCCTAGTGTGTGGAAGGTGAGGGGGTGCTACAGAAAGAAAAAGGTTGAGAACTCCTGAGTGGAAGACAACTGTCCCTTAGCACAAATTTTAAAAGGACTGTATTTTCTTAATCCAATTTACCTAATTCCTGTTGGAGGCTATTCTCTACCAGACTTCACTATAAAATGATATTTTTGTATTTAGTGCTAGAATTAGCCTTTGGAATGTATTCACTAAAAAGGGACTCTTAATGGCACTAAATTCGGACTCTTAATTTGGGCCCAGTTTTACTACTTCTATTTTAAAAGTCAATGTAGTCTTTCTTGAAGAGCATAAATCCAAATACACTTGAAATGCCAATAAACAATGAAAGCAACAAAATCTCAATGTCCATCAACCAAAACAGACCATCTTTTCACTTCACAGGCCTTAAAGCTGTGTATTTGTATTCCAGCTTCTGTAGATAGCTGTACAGCTGCACAAAAACAAAAGCTGCCAAGAGGTTTCTCTTAACTAAATCTTGTTTGGATTATGTACGGGAGATGGCGCTTTTCCTGCTTCAGTCAGTCAGCAAACAGCTTTATTTGCCTACAAAAGAAGATTAAATTAGTTAAGTTGCTTTTCCTCAACTCTTCCATTAGATGGTAGCAAATGCAACTATACATTCCAGCTGCATAATATCTGAGGTGTATGGGAGATGCTTTTAACTCGAATTTGGCCCAAAACATAGATCTGTAAAGCCAAGCTTTTATAAAACATCACACACAGAGAAATGGTTGTAGTAAGATGAAGGCCTGAAACAAAAGCCTATGTAACACAAGCCTGGTTTGAGGCCTGAGGCCTAGCTAACAATGGACAACACTTGGCTAATATAAAGCAAAGATAAGCTGTGAGTGAGAGGCAGGCCCCTGCTCACAGAACTTGGCAGGAACAGGGCTGAGAGAACAAAACACTAATTGGTAGTAGGCCCAGGTGTAGGTACCAGCTGTAAAACAGTAATTGGTACTGGTCATAAGTTGACAGCAAATTCCAAAAGGATGGTACCATCAGCTCATTAAAAAAGACTCCCCACAGATACTGACCCAGGTCCAGGAAAGGGTCTAAAATGACAGTGGATAGAGATGTTCTAATTCAGGGATGGGTAATAATTTTTGGCCAGGGGCCACTTCAAAAATTTTTGAAATGAGCCCGGACCACCCCAGCATGGATAGGACCTAAAAGAGAAGGGGCGGGACTAGGATGCTTCCAGGCTTCCTCACCCACAGACCACGATTGGTCTGGGGGGTGGAAGAGCCTCTTTGCTTCCCCCCACTAAGCACTCATGCCCCTGGCAGGGCTGGAGGAGACTTCACGCACTCCCCCACCCCCAAACCCCGATTGGCTTGGGGACAGGAAACGTGCACAAAGTTTCCTCCACCCTATCCCTGTACTGCCAGTACACGGAACTTCGCAGGGAGGGAGGAGACTTCGCACACTCCCCTGTCTCCAGGCCCAGCAGAGCTAATCCGCCTGGGGGCAGGGCAGCGGGGGCCCTTTTGCCCACCCCTGTTCTAATCAAACCATGAGGTGCAGGGTGATCTCTAAGTAGTGTCAGAGGGTGGCAACCTGACAACGTGAGGAGTGATGTGAAAGTTGTTTGTACCTGTGTATAAAGTGGTGTCTTGGGGGGGACAGTCTTTGTCTAGCCAGGAGGCAGTAGGGCCGTCCACTGATTGAGCACTCACGTGACTGAAAGGGACTACTCATATAAAGTGATGCATACC